GTAGGAGGACCAGGAAAGATCGGAGGAAATACTCAGTCCAACGTATTTGACATTAGATGTAATTTCAACCTCTATGCCGTCAATGATAGTGGGGCCATGTGAGCTAGCTGGTCGTTATAGGTCACGTTTACGTCTGAAAGTTGACTACCTGATATTTAGATGGATTCAGCTTAAGACCGTTTGATGAGGACCACTGACTAATTTCCGACAGAAAGTTATCTAATTTGGAACAATCCGACTGGGAGTTGACAGGCATAGAAACACAGAGGTCATCGGCATACTTAACAAAAGTGGCTACATCAGAATGGGGCAAGTCATGTAAGAAAAAGAAAAGGAGAAAGAACAGCACCTTGAGGAACACCAACTAAAGTAAGTGAGGTAGTGGAGGACTTTCCATTGTAGACGGTGTACTGCCTCCTATCAGAAAAACAGGAATGCAACCACTTATTTGTTCAGCTGTCAGCCTGTGTTGCGGCAAGCTTACTTAGCAAGATAGACCTAGGTACAGAGTTAAATGCAGATGTGTAATCAAGGAAGGCACACTGAACGTATTTAGCTCCTTTATCTAAACTAGAGACTATATTATGATGTAGAACAACAGCGGCATCTAAGGTACACCTACTATGTTTGTAAGCAAACTGGTTAGGGTCATTGAAAGGCTTTAAAGAGGGTTCAAGCTTAAGTAAAATAAGTCTTTCCATAACTTTCAAAAAAGGTGAAGTAATAGCAATGGGTCTAAACTTAACATTAGGTCCACTTGTTGATTTAGGCACTGGAACAGTCTTGATATTTTTCCATGAGTCAGGTATAATACTTTTGGAAAAAGATTCGTTGCAAATGTCGGTTAATGGGGAACATAAGATGTCAGCACACTTCTTAAGGATAACAGCAGGAACACCATTAGGACCAAGGGACTGAGTAGGTTTGAGAGATTGAAGACACTTAAGGACATCATTCGTATTAAAACATGAAAAGCGGTCATTATTTATACTATTAGAGTTAGAAATCATAACATCTGCAGGGATACATCTGAAGGATTTATTAAGCATGTCTACATCGACAGAAGTATTATTCATTATTTGCTTACCACCTGTGATTTCCTTTAATAACTTCCACATATTAGATGGGGATTTACATGAAATAAACTTCTGGTTATAGAGAGCATTCAATCTTGGTAATTCAACTTTAATAAAAGTGTTCATTCTCTTAACACCAGATGTATTTTTTTTTCACTGCGAAGCTTTTTGAGTTGAGAGTTATCGAGTTGTTATCATTGTGTTACACTTGAAGAATTTTGGTTTTACCATATTCAATAATTAATTTTTAGATGTTAGGCCCACTCGTTGAAGTTTCTGTAGCGATTTGGCCTACTCAGATTTTATTAGATTTTTAATGGATTACTTTTAGAGAATATGTAAGTCAATCTATACTTCATTAAATCTCAATGTGTATAGCAAAGGCTCCTTATTCATTTAAGGTTGGAAATTAAGCATGTTAGACGTAGTGGTACACAGACTTAAATTTTGCCTTAATGAAGATTATACAATAAATAATTTTATCATTGATATTACATAGTTGGAAGCAATCCGTTAGGAAACCCCACATGACCTAAGTTTCATGCTATTTGGTACTCACCAGTCAGTCAAAAAGGCGTATCTACAACCTAGAAGGAAGTTATTTCCCTTCTGAGATTCGAACTCGCCGCACCCAGTGAGCACTGCCATCATTGAGAGACGTTACTATTAACCTTCTATAGGACTATCTTAGTTACTTTGATTGGACACAAGCTAGTAACTAGTTAGCTGACATAGGATCAGGTTGGAAAAGAGCTAGTTTATTATCATTATTATTTCCTAGAGGAACATAGGGCTTCAGCCGCCCAAGTCTCCATTGCCTTCTGTTTTCTGCCAACCTTTTCACCTGGCTCCAGGTCTGCCCACATGCTTCCATGTCCTCTTCACATGACCACTTCCAAGTCACCCTTGCACTGACGACCAACTCACCGCTTCCCTTTCGGGTTCCACTCAAGCGATGGCTTGTCTAGTGATGTCACTTGACGGTTTCCTCAGAGTATGGTCACCAATCCATCTCCATTTCTTCCTGCCTATTTGTTTCACAATCGGTTCCTGGTTGGTTGGTTCGCTCATTGCCAGAGATCCCTCCCTGTTGCTGATCTTTTCTGGCCGGCCATCTGATCTTCAGTATTGAGTGAAGACAGCTAGCTGTTGATGAAGGTCTGAAGTTTGTTTGAGATGCTCTTTATGACGCGCCAAGTCTCTGATCTGTATAGTGAGTAGCACTGACTTCACATCGGAGTTGGAAATCCGGATCTTATTTTTCATGCTGCATGCATTTGAGTTATCTCCACACAGACTTAAGAGTAATGAAAACTTGTCCTGCTTTTCCGATTCTGGCTTCTATATCCTCGTCAGTTCCGTCCGCCTGAAGTCGAAACGATGCTTCCCAGGTAGGTGGGTAGGTAAAGGAGGTTGTTTCTTTCAGGTTCCTCCCATCTATGCTGGCTGATTGTTATCTGTTGTTGTTGGTGTCGACCAGGAATCTTCATCACCTACCTCTGTTTTCTCTATGTTCACCTGAAGTCCCTCCTATCTTTGATGCTTCTTCTGCCAGCTTGTTGCTTTTCATTTGCATATCTCCCTGTTTGTGGGAAATCACACATATGTCATCGGCGAAGTCCAGATCCTCCAAGTTCTTTTTTGTGTGAGTCCATTTTATGCCTGTTTCCTCATTGCAGGTTGTGTGTCGCATTATCCAATCTACCTCAATCAGAAAAATCATTGGCGATAGTAGGCAGCCTTGTCATACTCCCGTCTTACTAAAGAGTTAGTAGTGGTGGTCAAACAATAAATGGCTTCATCAGTCAATGGAACCCACAACAGTTAGTTTAAACTGGCCAGTCACGTAGGAAGGTGTAGACTTCCTGTCTACTTGGTTGGATTCCTCGGGATGGCAAACACCAATGAAGGCTGCAGATAATTGGTGATATGGTCGGCTCAAAATCGTTCTCAATGGCTGACTCAGATGCATCCACTCCTTGTGACTTATAATATCCAATAAAAGCGTATTGTTCTTCCATATTACCATTACTTTTGCCTCATATCTCTGTTTTTGGGTTTCGTTTTACTTTCTTCTCTTGCTTTTTGTGTGCTAAGGGAAGTGTGGCGACTCGAACTGTTGCACATCGGTGCAAAGATCTACGTTGAAACCAGTCAGTCAGTAAGTAGTGTAATGTGTCTACTAATTTCTTTGGCGCATGCTGGCCACATTGCGAACTTGACTGATAAAATTCAGTCTGCACCAAAGATAGGACTAGAAACACACACACACACACATTGCACTGGTTACTAGCTAGCGCTAATGTCTAATTAAAGAATTTTAACACTTATCAAAATGACAAACGGTGAAAAACCCTCCTTTTTGAATAATACTATGCTATCAGTTATATTACATATTCATAATGTTCACCTGTCTGTTTTCGACATTGAACTTTGCACATATGTGCGACAGTTCAAGTCGCCACACTCCCTCCATGTAGCACACAAAGCAAGAGAAGAAAGTAAAAGAAATGTATAATAGAGACAGTAAGCAGATGTGTGAGGCAAAGGAATAGTAATAACGAAGAACAAAATAGTTTCATTGGAAATCATAAGTTACAAGGAGTGGATGCATCTGCGCCATTGAGAACGATTTTCAGCTATGTCACCATTTGTTTCCAACCATTGGTTTTTACCGTCCAGAGGACCCAGACCAGGAAGTCTACACCTTCCTACGTGGCTTAGACTAACTGTTGTTTTTTTCCAGCCTGACCATATATCCACTAACATTGCCCATTGCCGAGGAAGGCGATGACTAGGCATGCATGCGTAACAGATGTCCTAACCATCTCAGTCGATGTAATTTCACAGCCTCGTCGATTGATTTCCCCTCCAACTCACCTAGCACTCGACCGATGCCTAACCTCAATATTGCTCACCCTATTATACTACCTAACACGGGAGATAGAACGCAGGCACTTATGATCAAATACACCTAGCCAAGCTTTCCATTTCTACCCTGTCCATATCCACGTCTCATCGCCACACCCTTTGATCGACAGCCAGCCGGATATCAAGTCTACACCATAGACGGTGTAAACTAGCAACTTCGAAACTAAACTACTGCTAAGTCAATGATAAGACAACAAACTGAAATAACAAAGTATATATTAAAAATAAAAGGTCTCTTTAGATATATATATATATTATATATATATATATATATCTGTTTCGTTACAGTTGAATTCGAAGACGCGAACGGCGGCACAGGCCAGAAAGAAATTATGAAAAAAAGACGGAAACACACCGTAGATAGACACAAGCACACATACACACACACACTCAGAGAACGTTATATAGAGAAAATTCTCAATCATACATGTTGTTCTTCTTCCTCTATGAACGAAAACTAAATGACCACTACTCACACTGAACGAAAAAGGATAAAGACAGAGCAGGACAACAGTAGGGGAATTAAAGGTTAAAAGCAGATGAGACGAGGACCGGTTAAGCAGGGGGCGGAGAAAAGAGATTCAAGATGGCAAACAAATGTATTTAGATGATGACGACAATGGTAATAATAACAATAATAATACTAATAAGAAGAAGATAATGCAAATCTGTGTTGCACCGAGTTGACAGGCTTTCTCGCCCTCCATCTTTCCCTCCGGTATTTTTTGTGCCGATTACGTAACAATCACTATGTTGTTATTAGCTTCAAAATGAGAAAACAAAAAGCTTGGTTATTCTTATCACCCAGTTTCTCTGTCACTTCTCTTATAATAATTAGCAAAAGAAAAGAAGGGTAGTTATGTACATGCAAACACGCTCACACACACACACACGCGCATATAGACAGACGAACACACAAACATGTTGTATTAAAGATTCTAATCTAAGTCGGAGGACGCACAACTGATGTACCGTCATCCTTGGGCGTCAGTATCATGAAGAGGGCAAAGGTTTTGGTGTTGAAGTCGTTGTTGTTGGTGGTGGTGGCGGCGGTGTTGTTGTTGCTGTTGATGGCTTTCGAAAGATCCCATAAACACAACTATAATTGTAGGAAAGCATTGAAGCTGGATTCTGAGTATAACTGCATTGGATACCGGTTTTCTCTCGCTATAAGAAAGAATAACAATAATGATAGAAAAAATATAGTAACAATACTAAACATACTACTTATGGAAAATTCTCTTTAAAACATTAAGAAAATTAAAAAAAACAAATGTGTTTCATAAATTTCAGTAGGATATCTAATACATCTTCACAACTAAATACTACCCGACACACAGATAGCTATAATGCCATTAGAATAACACTGAGGAATATACAAGACTGATAAGTAAGTAAACTGCATTTTGAATCAATGATGCAAAACGACAGGTGTGAATATCCCCCAGATCAGATCATGTGTCAAATTGACAAGGTGGAAAGACAGGTTACTAATCTTTGACACTTCAAACTGTATATATATATATGATTTTATTTATTTATTTTTGATTACAGCTTGATTCCACACCGTATTTTTGGTACAAGTATGGAATTTTCAGCGTGGATATCGGTAGCCCAAATTTTGCAGGCCGACCATAGATATCAGTTGTGCGTCGGCGAGGGCTCGAACCTCGTACCATGTGCATGGTCGGCGAGAGTCCTAACCACTGTGCCACCGACGCATATGATATGTATTCCCGGCAAAGTTAAACTTTAGACACCACTAGCGACCAATCACATTAAAGAGGCATATCTGATGAATGGAAATATATATTTATAGAAAAAGAGCATAAAATAGATAATAAAAAAGTTACTAGAGATATCTTTCTCGAACATGTGAGAGAAACATCTCCCAGTTTAGCATGGGACTGTCAATGGAGAAGTTACACCATATCCTGTACATATATTCATCCAAGTGACCATAAATGAGATCCATTTATAGCCGTTATCCTATTTTTCAACCTGCCCCAAAATCCTTTCTTTTTTACCAGCACTGTTTCATCAACATGCACGATAACGTCTCTTCCACCCAGCAAACAAGTGATTTTCTCCATTTTCCATGATGCGATGTCTCTGCAGTGCTGGTACCACTGAACTGTTGAGACGAGGCTATTCTCCGTCTCGGCTGCTGCTGCTCTCACCGGCTGTTTCAACACCCAGTAGTTGCATATATATAAAACCTGAGTTAGGGAGAGATGCGACCTAGCGAAAAAAGTTCCTACGAAATATAAAAATTGTCAGCTTACCCTCTTTAATACTAGCACGCTTCAAACATATAGCACAACGATGAACAAATTCATCAATTGATCTGCTATAGCTTTTTAAAGTCATGATACCACCACACGAACAAGTTTGCTCCTTCCGGAGCAACCCTAAATCCAGGGCAATACTGGAAAACACTATCCTCCTCGAATTGCAACCGTAACCTTGCAAGGGCACGAATTTGAAATGAATCAAGCGCTATACAACATTGAACTACGTTCGTGAGCCTCATTGGATAATTCGCTGATTGGTAGTTAGTGGTATCGAAAGTTTAACTTCGCCGTATTCCCATGATGTGTGTTTTGTTTCTGACAGTCTATTATATTTTGCTATGTGTATATGGATAGATACTTCATTATAACTGACAATATGCTTTTGTCTGTCCACTAATTAAATAAACATGTATGACCTTGTTATCATATGACATTACAACCAATCATGGTAAGACGTTATCTTATTGGATCATGTGTATTAGTCATTTTCATATATACTCTTGCTTTGTACACTTATATACTTCTGGTTCACACACATTTCGTACATTTAAGTACCCTTCCACTCACATACTTGTGTGACATTTATTTTCCTTGTCTGGAAAATACAAGTATCATTGTAAACCTGGTGGTCTTCTGATTTCCCTCTTTCCGCATCAAGACTATTAACTACTCGACGAGTACATAACAATATACATTAGTTTGAGTGTGTTGATGCAAGCAAATGCACACACCATACGTACCCCCCCCCTCCACAAATGATGGAGCATTTGTCTTAAATGGCTCGTAAAAGCTAGCTGACATTATTCCGTATTATAGTTTGTTTATTAGATGTATCACACAGTCACTGAAACAGTATTAGTATTTACTGGATGACGTTTCACTTCCTGTCTTAGATTTTCCTGATACACATAAAAGAAGCCTTGAAACTTAATAATTACCCGGATAAATTAGTCAAGAAATATGTAACGAAATGTAAAAATAAAATAAATAATGATAGTAGCGATAGTGGATAATAATAATAATATTAATTACGATACCAACAATAAGGAATCTAAATCATCAGTAGTAATTCCATACAAAGAAGGAACCTCGGAAACCACCTTACGCAGAATTCTTAACAAGGCAGGAATAAAAGTGGCTGCCATTCAAACCACCCACAAACTCAATTAGAATCAAGCTTTGTCGGTTAAATGGTGGATCCTATGGAGCCTTTAAAACAAAACAATTTAGTTTATCTAATACCCTGTCAGTAATGCTTGTCACGTCAAATACATAGGTCAAAGTAGTAGAACAGGGGCAGTCAGACTAGTCGAGCATAAAAACCTAGTGAAATCTAGATTAGTTGACCTGAATAAGATAATAAATCTAGAGAATAGTTCAGGTATAGCACTCACTACATGCAATTACACACAACCATACAATAGGATGGGATAAGATGACAGTTTTAAAATCTATTACAACTAACATGTTGGAGGGAGAGATTAATAACAGAAGCTTTGTCTATGGAATCAACCGCAAATACGTGTAATAGGAATGATTCAACACCTGTCCACTCAGATATCTGGAAAATTCCACTACTCCAACAACGAAAAATAGGAGAGAACAAAGAAAACTATAAAATTTAAGTTTCAAAGTCGTGTGATGATGATTGATGAAATGATTATGAACAATACATTTTGTTCGAAACGGTGTCATCCAGTAAATAATACGACTGTTTCACTGTGTGATACACCAAATAAACAAACTAATATGGAATTACTTACTACCACAGTGCCCCAGTTTTACACATATACTAGCTGAAGTCAAATTATCAAAGCGTTCAACAACAAAACAACTTTTAGACTGTGATATAATATGATATTGATATTTACTGTTGTCAACAGACAGACAGACAGACATAGAGGAGGATTCATGAAAAATCTTCATTCGAACATTAATAGACAGAAGACCAGTATCTAATTGGTGGATGGTGAGCAGCAGTGGAATCCAGGACAACGCGTATTTCGTCCTATTTCGGATACGTTGGTCGTTGGATGTACCTGCATTCCTCAGTGAGTGAGTGAGTGAGTGATGATGTCCCCACCACCGAGGCTAAAACCCAGTCCCCATAGTTTCAAACGCCAACATGTCAAGCTGAGATCGAGCACTTCGGTCCAATCAATCGATGGGAAAATCTAAAATTCAATTAAAATAGAAGACCAGTAGTTCAGCGAAGAGTATCTTTTTGGCGGCGACCTCATTTTCACAGATGTACAATCGCAGATATATATGGTTATTTTCTCTCTCTCTCTGTGTGTGTACATTAAATTTCTCAAACGAAAGTACAATTAGTAAGTTTTTGGTGGAGTCACGTAACACAAAACGCGTTAAGAGGATTGGACATTCATACAATAGGAGAGTAACAAAAGTGATGAGATGTCACAAATGATTGTTAAAGAAGAGTTACGCAATAATAACATGAATAGTTTGGTGAAAGAGTTGTACTCACGGTGAATATGGAAACAAAATAAAATACGAAATTACATAAGTTTTAAGTAGTTAGAAAAAACAAGCAAAAGTTAAGTCAGATCAACAGAGTAGATAGTAGAAGTGGCTGAATAATTGTCTTTTGTATGCATAGTCCTGGTTCGTCTAACTGAATGGCTAAAGCTTCCGCAATGCAAAGTAGACGGAAACGTATTGTCTTTGGCAGATTGCTCTTCACTTTGTAGATAGATTACTTTGAAGAGGAGGCATTTGTTGAGATGGAATGACCAGTGGTGACGAGATGTTCGATTATTGCACTCGTCATACGGCTACTACTTCCTTTCTGCAACCATGCTGGAGTGTTTTTTGACCCTTTTTGATAGGATGCGCGTAGAACGACGGATGTACCTGGCTCCACAGTAATAGGTGAGCTGATACATACACGTAAAAGCAGGCAGGTGCGAGATCTTATCCTCTGGGCTTCTGCAGATCAGCGGGTGACTAGAGAACACTGCCCTCAGTGTTGCCGCGAAGAAGTTCTTCTTAATGAAGTGGAATTTCTCCTCTCAAAGACATCACTGAGTAGGTCACCTTTGAAGTCAAGGTTCAAAAAAAGTATCTTATTTGGAACGGATAGCATCTCTTGCTTTTGGAAAAGGTCACCCCAAATCGAAGTACATATAGGAATATTAAAGCAATTGTGTCACAGATCTCAAAATTATATGAACGAGTTGAAATACACAAACCAGTAGTGCCTCCTAACGATAAATTCACTCACTATACCACAAATTAGCATAGTGGCTATGTGAATTATTGCAAGCTTTGTGAAAACGCTTTGGAATTCATAATATTTCTGATTGATTCCAGTTTGTTGAGCGAATCAATGATTTCAGTGTCATTGGTAAACGCCATCTGGTCTCTTTTGATGTTACTTCCTTATTCACAAACGTTCTAGTCACTGGACTATATATATAGCCAGGGAGAGAAGCTACCGATATAGCCATTTCAACATCGGAATTGAGGTAATTGTTGCTTTTTATGTACTAATAATGTCCAATTTCAATTTGATATGCGTCTATTCCGTCAAGTAGATGGTATTGCAATAGGAAGCCTCTTAGGAGAACAATTTTCGTGAATTTATTCTTGCCAAGCCTAGAAGGCGGTGTTTAGCAACTACACATAAACAACAAATGGAATTATACATAAGATATATGGAGAGAATTTAGAATGAGCTGAATACAAAACTTCACATCCCCACCGGAACAAGCTGAATGATTCAGGAAAGGCAAATCATGTCCTGAACAAATTTCAACTCTATACATTGTCATCAAAAATAACACTGAATGGTAGTTAAACCTCTACCTCAGTTTCATCGACTGCGAAAAGGTCTTCGACAGACAGCGTTGA